TGCTCCAGTGTTGTATCTACAGATTAATGTGTTTCTGTCCGTGTGTATCTACGATTAATCTTTTCTGCTCCAGTGTTGTATCTACAGATTAATCTGTTTCTGCTCCAGAGTGTTGTATCTACAGATTTAATGTGTTTCTGCTCCAGTGTTTGTTATCTACAATTAAGGTGTTTTCTGCTTCCAGTGTTGTATCTAAATATTACTGGTCTGTTCCCATTGTGTATTCTACAGGATTAATGTGTTTCTGCTCCAGTGTTGTATCTACAGATTAAAGTGTTTCTGTTCCAGTGTTGTATCTACAGATTAATGTGTTTCTGTTCCAGTGTTGTATCTACAGATTAATGTGTTTCTGCTCCAGTGTTGTATCAATGCTCCCAGGCTCCCAGGCTCCAGGCTCCATGCTCCCAGGCTCCATGCTCCAGGCTCCATGCTCCCAGGCTCCATGCTCCCAGGCTCCATGCTCCCAGGCTCCATGCTCCCAGGCTCCATGCTCCAGGCTCCCAGGCTCCCAGGCTCCAGGCTCCCAGGCTCTCAGGCAGGGAAACCGGTAAACAAGAAGAGCTACAGCACTGGGTTAAGGCCAAATTCAGCCAGTACTGCCACACACACAGTGACACTGTTCAGTACAGAAATAACATACAGATGAGAGGGGAGGAAGTACTTATGCAGTGAAGTATCTAGAGTTTGGACTTCAATAACACTGCATAGAGAGACATAACACATTATAAGCCTTGTTACAATACTTTAGAAAGGCTCATACAAGCTTATAGCAAGTTATAGAATTATAACTGGAGGCTGTGTAGCATTTGACCAATATTTTCATTGCATATCAATAAAATAAATTCAATGTAATCATGGAACAGCAGTTAGATGTAAATAATAATCCTATATTGGCCAAATGGTTCAGTAGGCTGCACTATGACAACAACATTAGGTAAGAAACAACACTCCCTAATGTGATCTTGGCCACCGTCTCTTACTACAGTTAAACCACCAGCTGGAGATAAACATGGTGTGGTATCCCGTCTACCCCGGGGGTTGGTGATAGAGGGGAGGTACGTGCCGTGACGTTGGCTCCCTCTGCTGGGAGTACCTGGGCTGGGCACCCCGACGCTGATGGCACCAATTAGGGGTAATTAGGGGAGAGAGCCAACCAGCCGTGCAGGCCACATAAATTGAGCACCGTGGCACACTGCGAGAGAGAAAAAGAGAGGCACTAGAACCCATCGTTACATTGCCATACAAATATTATATTTGTCTGCTAAGTCTCCACATATAACCCATAATCCATTTCACCTCCTTTCTGCGATGAGCTCACAGAACTGGATCCTGTTTTATACTGTTCAACCCACCTCACAGAACTGGACCCTGTTTTATACTGCTCAACCCACATCACAGAACTGGACCCCGTTTTATACTGCTCAACCCACCTCACAGTGCTACCAATGATCAATTAAAATAACTCAAATTAGACACACAGGGAGGAGGAGGAGGAAGAAGAGGCACACAGAGGAGGAGGAGGAAGAGGAGGAGGTGGAGGAAGAGGAGGAGACACACCAGAAGGAGGAGCCGAAGTCACAGCTGAAAAGTTGCCGTAGCGACTGGCAATGGCTTCTGGGAGCTGAGAGCGAGCCAGGAGCGAGTCGGGAGCGGTGTTACCATTTAATGCTGTTATCACAGGCTGTATATAGCTGGAGGTCAAGCAAGACTTTAGCCTGCTAGGAGGATTAGGGTACTTAGCTGATTACCGACTGCCTGCCTACTGACTGTTGCGGAGTCCCTGCGTGGTTACTGACTGCCTGGACGTTATTGCCTGCCTGGTTACTGACTGACTGGACAGTATGGCCTGCCTGGTTACTGACTGCCTGGATGTTATTACCTGCCTGCTGAATGTACAGTAGTCTCAGCCCCAGGAACTACTAGCTGAATGTACAGTAGTCTCGGCCCTAGGAACTGCTACTTTTCCATTCTAGATCCATGTGCTCACAGATAATTGTAAAGGTGGGAACAAACCAATGACTCCCCAACCACTCAGATTACTAGTCCAACTGAACTCCCCTCTCAGCACCTCCAAGCTAACCAATGACTCCCCAACCACTCAGATTACTAGTCCAACTGAACTCCCCTCTCAGCACCTCCAAGCTGTACAGTGCACTCCAACACATAACTTACTGTGGAACCATTTAGCTAATAGCCGTATTGAGGCATTGACTCTTCTCTGTGGTTGACATCATCTTCACAGGTTGTCGAAGTCGTCTCAATAGTGCTGAACGAGGTCTGCCTTTGAACCCATTTCAGTCCCTTCCTCTTCATCATCAATGCAAATCAATTTATAACATTTTTGACATGTGTTTTTCTGGATTTTTGTTGTTGTTGTTATTCTGTCTCTCACTGTTCAAATAAACCCATTACAATTATAGACTGATCATGTTTTTGTCAGTGGGCAAACGTACAAAATCAGCAGGGGATCAAATACTTTTTTCCCTCACTGTGTGTATACAGGTAAAAGTCAGTAAATTAGAATATTTTGAAAAACTTGATTTATTTCAGTAATTGCATTCAAAAGGTGTAACTTGTACATTATATTTATTCATTGCACACAGACTGATGCATTCAAATGTTTATTTCATTTAATTTTGATGATTTGAAGTGGCAACAAATGAAAATCCAAAATTCCGTGTGTCACAAAATTAGAATATTACTTAAGGCTAATACAAAAAAGGGATTTTTTAGAAATGTTGGCCAACTGAAAAGTATGAAAATGAAAAATATGAGCATGTACAATACTCAATACTTGGTTGGAGCTCCTTTTGCCTCAATTACTGCATTAATGCGGCGTGGCATGGAGTCGATGAGTTTCTGGCACTGCTCAGGTGTTATGAGAGCCCAGGTTGCTCTGATAGTGGCCTTCAACTCTTCTGCGTTGTTGGGTCTGGCATTCTGCATCTTCCTTTTCACAATACCCCACAGATTTTCTATGGGGCTAAGGTCAGGGGAGTTGGCTGGCCAATTTAGAACAGAAATACCATGGTCCGTAAACCAGGCACGGGTAGATTTTGCGCTGTGTGCAGGCGCCAAGTCCTGTTGGAACCTGAAATCTCCATCTCCATAGAGCAGGTCAGCAGCAGGAAGCATGAAGTGCTCTAAAACTTGCTGGTAGACGGCTGCGTTGACCCTTGATCTCAGGAAACAGAGTGGACCGACACCAGCAGATGACATGGCACCCCAAACCATCACTGATGGTGGAAACTTTACACTAGACTTCAGGCAACGTGGATCCTGTGCCTCTCCTGTCTTCCTCCAGACTCTGGGACCTCGATTTCCAAAGGAAATGCAAAATTTGCTTTCGTCAGAAAACATGACTTTAGACCACTCAGCAGCAGTCCAGCTCTTTTTTTCCTTAGCCCAGGTGAGACGCTTTTCGCGCTGTTTCTTGGTCAACAGTGGCTTGACACGAGGTATGCGGCAGTTGAAACCCATGTCTTTCAAGCGTCTCTTGGTGGTGGATCTTGAAGCCCTGACTCCAGCAGCTGTCCACTCCTTGTGAATCTCCCCCACATTTTTGAATGGGTTTTTTTTCACAATCTTGACTAGGGCGCGGTGATCCCTATCGCTTGTACACTTTTTCTGACCACAGTTTTTCCTTCCCTTTGCCTCTCTATTAATGTGTTTGGACACAGAGCTCTGAGAACAGCCAGCCTCTTCTGCAATAACCTTTTGTGTCTTTCCCTCCTTGTGCAATGTGTCGATGGTCGCCTTTTGGACAGCTGTCAAATCTGAAGTCTTCCCCATGTTTGTGTAGGCTTCAGAACTGGACTGAGAGACCATTTAAAGCCCTTTGCAGGTGTTTTGAGTTAATCAGCTGATTATTTTGTGGCACCAGGTGTCTTCAAAATGTAACCCTTACACAATATTCTAATTTTGTGACACACGGAATTTTGGATTTTCATTTGTTGCCACTTCAAATCATCAAAATTAAATGAAATAAACATTTGAATGCATCAGTCTGTGTGCAATGAATAAATATAATGTACAAGTTACACCTTTTGAATGCAATTACTGAAATAAATCAACTTTTTCAAAATATTCTAATTTACTGACTTTTACCTGTATATATAAATTGGGGAGAACAAGTATTTGATACACTGCCGATTTTGCAGGTTTTCCTACTTACAAAGCATGTAGAGGTCTGTAATTTTTAACATAGGTACACTTCAACTGCGAGAGATGGAATCTAAAACAAAAATCCAGAAAATCACATTGTATGATTTTTAAGTAATTAATTTGCATTTTATTGCATGACATAAGTATTTGATACATCAGAAAAGCAGAACTTAATATTTGTTACAGAAACCTTTGTTTGCAATTACAGAGATCATACGTTTCCTGTAGGTCTTGACCAGGTTTGCACACAGTGCAGCAGGGATTTTGGCCCACTCCTCCATACAGACCTTCTCCAGATCCTTCAGGTTTCGGGGCTGTCGCTGGGCAATACGGACTTTCAGCTCCCTCCAAAGATTTTCTATTGGGTTCAGGTCTGGAGACTGGCTAGGCCACTCCAGGACCTTGAGATGCTTCTTACGGAGCCACTCCTTAGTTGCCCTGGCTGTGTGTTTCGGGTCGTTGTCATGCTGGAAGACCCAGCCACGACCCATCTTCAATGCTCTTACTGAGGGAAGGAGGTTGTTGGCCAAGATCTCGCGATACATGGCCCCATCCATCCTCCCCTCAATACGGTGCAGTCGTCCTGTCCCCTTTGCAGAAAAGCATCCCCAAAGAATGATGTTTCCACCTCCATGCTTCACGGTTGGGATGGTGTTCTTGGGGTTGTACTCATCCTTCTTCTTCCTCCAAACACGGCGAGTGGAGTTTAGACCAAAAAGCTCTATTTTTGTCTCATCAGACCACATGACCTTCTCCCATTCCTCCTCTGGATTATCCAGATGGTCATTGGCAAACTTCAGACGGGCCTGGACATGCGCTGGCTTGAGCAGGGGGACCTTGCGTGCGCTGCAGGATTTTAATCCATGACGGCGTAGTGTGTTACTAATGGTTTTCTTTGAGACTGTGGTCCCAGCTCTCTTCAGGTCATTGACCAGGTCATTGACCAGGTCCTGCCGTGTAGTTCTGGGCTGATCCCTCACCTTCCTCATGATCATTGATGCCCCATGAGGTGAGATATTGCATGGAGCCCCAGACCGAGGGTGATTGACCGTCATCTTGAACTTCTTCCATTTTCTAATAATTGCGCCAACAGTTGTTGCCTTCTCACCAAGCTGCTTGCCTATTGTCCTGTAGCCCATCCCAGCCTTGTGCAGGTCTACAATTTTATCCCTGATGTCCTTACACAGCTCTCTGGTCTTGGCCATTGTGGAGAGGTTGGAGTCTGTTTGAGTGTGTGGACAGGTGTCTTTTATACAGGTAACGAGTTCAAACAGGTGCAGTTAATACAGGTAATGAGTGGAGAACAGGAGGGCTTCTTAAAGAAAAACTAACAGGTCTGTGAGAGCCGGAATTCTTACTGGTTGGTAGGTGATCAAATACTTATGTCATGCAATAAAATGCAAATTAATTACTTTAAAATCATACAATGTGATTTTCTGGATTTTTGTTTTAGATTCCGTCTCAGTTGAAGTGTACCTTTCTTCCATTCTTCTCTGCAGATCCTCTCAAGCTCTGTCAGGTTGGATGGGGAGCGTCGCAGCACAGCTATTTTCAGGTCTCTCCAGAGATGTTAGATCGTTTTCAAGTCTGGGCTCTGGCTGGGCCACTCAAGGACATTCAGAGACTTGTCCCGAAGCCACTCCTGCATTGTCTTGGCTGTGTGCTTAGGGTCATTGTCCTGTTGGAAGGTGAACCTTCGCCCCAGTCTGAGGTCCTGAGCGCTCTGGAGCAGGTTTTCATCAAGGATCTCTCTGTACTTTGCTCCGTTCATCTTTCCCTCGATCCTGACTAGTCTCCCAGTCCCTGAAAAACATCCCCACTGCATGATACTGCCACAACCATGCTTCACCGTAGGGATGGTGCCAGGTTTCCTCCAGACGTGACGCTTGGCATTCAGGCAAAGAGTTCAATCTTGGTTTCATCAGACCAGAGAATCTTGTTTCTCATGATCAGAGAGTCCTTTAGGTGCCTTTGGGCAAACTCCAAGCGGGCTGTCATGTGCCTTTTACTGAGGAGTGGCTTCCATCTGGCCACTCTACCATAAAGGCCTTATCGGTAGAGTGCTGCAGAGATGGTTGTCCTTCTGGAAGGTTCTCCAATCTCCACAGAGGAACTCTGGAGCTCTGTCAGAGTGACCATCGGGTTCTTGGTCACTTCCCTGACCAAGGCCTTTCTCCCTCGATTGCTCAGTTTGGCCAGGCGGCCAGCTCTAGGAAGAGTCTTGGGACCTTCAATGCTGCAGAAATGTTTTGGTACCCTTCCCCAGATCTGTGCCTCGACACAATCCTGTCTCGGAGCTCTACGGACAATTCCTTCTACCTCATGGCTTGGTTTTTGCTGTCATGCACTGTCAACTGTGGGACCTTATATAGACAGGTGTGTGCCTTTCAAATCATGTCCAATAAATTTAAAATTTACCACAGGTGGACTCCAATGAAGTTGTAGAAACATCAAGGATGATCAATGGAAACAGGATGCACCGGAGCTCAACTGACATTTACTCCTGAGGTGCTGACCTGTTGCACCCTCTACAACCACTGTGATTATCATTTGACCCTGCTGGACTGTTACAGGGACTGTTACAGGGGTCTTTCATGGTTGGATGCATGAAGAGCATTCAAGCAAAACGTGTGAACAGAATATTTATGAAACATCCTTTTATTTTTCGAAGCATTACACGTTCTGGAGGCTATGGCTGATTCCACGGCCAATAGAAAGCGATGCCACACACTTGACACCCACAATCAGGCTAGCCTGAGCTTGTCTTGTACGCAAAAAAAAAAAAAAAAGGGAAATTATATTTTATACTAATACAAATGCTCAGAAAAGGTAGTGTCAAAATGATTGACATCCGTTTTCAATACCTCACCTTGCGAGGACAACGGCATGGAGCCCTTTTCTCCAATGTTTTATGTTGGAGACACTAGGAGGCGCTTCGACCATTCAGAATCCTTCCAGATCCTTGATATCCTTCGTCTGCGTTTATGGACTTCCCCCTTCAATTCAAACCACAGGTTTTCATTGGGTTTCAAGTCTGGAGACTAAGATGGCCATTTCAAAATGTTGATTTTGTGGCCAATTAACCATTTCTTTGTGGATTTCAATGTGTGCTTGAGGTTATTGTCTTGCTGGAAGATCCACTTGCGGCCAAGTTTCAGCCTCCTGGCAGAAGCAACCAGGTTTTTGTATAAAATGTCCTGGTAGTGGGTAAAGTTTATGATGCTGTTGACCTTAACAAGGGCCCCAGGACCAGTGGTAAATAGCCCCATAACGTCAAAGATCCAGCACCATATTTGACAGTAGGTATGGGGTTATTTTCTGCTCATTCATTCTCATTTCCACACCAAACCCACCACTGGTGAGCGTTGCCAGGGAGCTCTATTTTCATGTCATCCAACAAATGTAAACACCTGGCATTGGCACTTGGACTGGAACCGGTGCTTTGGTCAGATTACTGGCCCCAGTCCTCCTGTACTGGACTGGAACCGGTGCTTTGGTCAGATTACTGGCCCCAATCCTCCTGTACTGGACTGGAACCGGTGCTTTGGTCAGATTACTGGCCCCAGTCCTCCTGTACTGGACTGGAACCGGTGCTTTGGTCAGATTACTGGCCCCAGTCCTCCTGTACTGGACTGGAACCGGTGCTTTGGTCAGATTACTGGCCCCAATCCTCCTGTACTGGACTGGAACCGGTGCTTTGGTCAGATTACTGGCCCCAGTCCTCCTGTACTGGACTGGAACCGGTGCTTTGGTCAGATTACATTTTTCAAAACAAAATATTGACCGTTAAATGAATATAAAAACATGACTAGCTAACTGCTTTCACATTTTCAAATTCTGATGTCGCAATATACTGTATCAGGAATAGGAAACTAGATTCAGCCCAAAAAGAACATGACAATCATTTCATACCTTGATTACATTGAGAGACATCTTTTATTTTATTTGAGGGAATACTTGGGAACAGGTTTCCTCAATTCATCTCATTTTAGCTGAATTCCTTGGGGGGCTAATGGTAACTGGTCAAAAGCATTATATAGGGAATAGACAGAAGGTACACATACCCCAGGTAGTCATTTAGCTACACAGGACTACATAGGGTTACATAAGGATCAATGTGTTATAGTCCCGTGTAGCTCAGTTGGTAGAGCATGGCGTTTGCAATGCCAGGGTTGTGGGTTCGATTCCCACGGGGGGCCAGTATAAAAATGTATGCACTCACTAACTAAGTCGCTCTGGATAAGAGCGTCTGCTAAATGACTAAAATGTAAAAAATTTGTTGATTAGGTCAAACCCCCCAATCTACAGGCTGATTACCTGAAACATAGTTGAGCCTTAAAACACCTCTACAAGATGTTCCTACTTTGAACTAGCATTGATTCACTGATCTAATCCTCTTGTAGACAACCATCCTTTATAGGACAGAGTACCACTGATACAACACATCCTGTTGGAACAGACACATATTACATGTTGAAAGAGAAATGGGCTTCTACCTGGAAATAGTGGGAGCCGGGAGCCAAAGCTGCCCATCATTTGCAATTCTGAAATGTGAAAACATGACTACTTTGATGCCAGTACTACGTATCCTCAAATGTCGTTTCAGTAACATGCTATTTATTATTTAAGTGATTATGCCCTCGAAGCCGGTGTTTGGAGGATATTTTGGCACGGGTGTTGTTAGGCCCGAGGCGAAGTCAATATATCTTCAAAACACCGGCTTCAAGGGCATTATCACTTTTATACAATGGGGTTACCAACATATTCAAATAATGATTTACATATTTTAATAAAAAAAATTATTTTGATGAATTTCTTCAAACTATTTCATCCTTCCACAAGATATAGTCCCGACACAAATCTAGGGTTGCTACCCAAGCCGGCTGGTCGTTCGTTCTATCGGTTTGGTTCCAGAGACTCGACCCAGTCGTTAGGTGTTTTTGTTCTGTATCTATGGATACAGTCATTCGTTCTAAATGTTCTATTGCCACACTGGCTGGCAACGTTCTGATCCCTTGCTTGCTAGCTACTACGGCTAATTTACAGTCACGTCAAACAGTGCAGCCAGAATAACAACAGTAGCTTCGTTTGCATTTGTTTAAGCTGTTTAAGCTGTTTTCTAGTGACATTTATTTGGATACATCCATAACAATGAGCTAATGATGCAAGATTTCACCTGGCATAGAAAATGTGCTCTCTCGTCAGGACACTGCTGTTCAGAGGAGCTAGCCAACAACAACACAGCTAACATAATCACTTCAAACTGAAGCAGGAAAGAACTAGCTGCACGTTTGACCTGTTTTCTATTGATATTTCTTTGCATATAGCCATAGAAATTATGCTGATTCATGAATTCGACTGGCTGAGAAAAGCTGCCTTCCTGTCTCCTCCCGACACGTTCATTACTATGCGACAGCTGGAATATTGAAACAATGTTGCAAATGTCAGAGAGACAGATCAAGGTTTATTCAAATCTCCACTGTTGAAAAAATATTGTTAGTCTAAAAGAAATGTGAGAATGTCTACATGCCTTTTTATAGTGGAGATCAAGTTTATAAAGTACCTGGCTAGGCTGATGAGAGTGGATTGGGCAGTCAGATGGAACAGAGTAAATGGGCATTTTAACATCATAGATTTAGCCGGTGGTAACTTGTGGAATAGACACCGGCTGGAATGCGGTTTTAACCAATCAGCATTCAGGATTAGACACACCCCGTTGTATAAAGGACATCACTAGGTTAAAGGTGAAGTAGTAAGGCTGGATAGATATGAACTACAGATGATGACAACAGTCTGGCTATAGCTGATGGCTGGATGGATAGGACAACACAAGCTTACTGTCAAATACAGTCAAAGCTCAAACCAATACAGGAAAACATTAAAACTACATTAGCAATTCTACCCCCATTTTATTTTATTTTTTTCCCCCCCATGCTCTGCCCAAAGCACTGCAGAGTGGGTAGCAAGTCTGTTCTTCAAAAACACCCCCCCCCCAAAACATACCAAACAAAAAACAGTGTAATATTGTTATATTGACGAGTCGACTTCTCAAACTGGGGTTCTCTTCTCTGGCATTCAGGACATTTTCTCAAATGCAAACACCAGGTATATGCCTGAGAGAGAGATGGAGAGATGGAGATGGAAGAAAGAGAGTTTTGTTTAATTCATTAGGATCCACATTAGCTAGTGCACATCCGGGGCATTAAGAGGAGAGAGATAATTCAATTAGGTTTGATTGATTAATAAAATCAGCTCATTAGCAGACAGGTCATTGCAGTGTCACAACCTCAACTCGGAGCAGAAGGATTTGGCCCAACCAATAATATTGACTTATATGTGCTTGCTTAAAGGCCCAGTGCATTCAAAAACATGATTTACAGTTGAAGTCGGAAGTTTACATACACCTTAGCCAAATACATTTAAACTCAGTTTTTCACAATTCCTGACATTCAATCCTAGTAAAAATTCCTTGTCTTAGATCAGTAAGGATCACCACTTTATTTTAAGAATGTGAAATGTCAGAATAATAGTAGAGTGATTTATTTAAGCTTTTATTTATTTCATCACGTTCCCAGTGGGTCAGAAGTTTACATACACTCAATTAGTATTTGGTAGCGTTGCCTTTAAATTGTTTAACTTGGGTCAAACGTGTCGGGTAGCCTTCCACAAGCTTCCCACAATAAGTTGGGTGAATTTTGGCCCATTCCTCCTGACAGAGCTGGTGTAACTGAGTCAGGTTTGTAGGCCTCCTTGCTCGCACACGCTTTTTCAGTTCTGCCCACACATTTTCTATAGGATTGAGGTCAGGGCTTTGTGATGGCCACTCCAATACCTTGACTTTGTTGTCCTTATGCCATTTTTCCACAACTTTGGAAGTATGCTTGGGGTCATTGTCCATTTGGAAGACCCATTTGCGACCAAGCTTTAACTTCCCGACGGATGTCTTGAGATGTTGCTTCAATATATCCACAATTTTCCTTCCTCATGATGCCATCTATTTTGTGAAGTGCACCAGTCCCTCCTGCAGCAAAGCACCCCCACAGCATGATGCTGCCACCCCCGTGCGTCACAGTTGGGATGGTGTTCTTCGGCTTGAAAGCATCCCCTTTTTTCCTCCAAACATAACGATGGTCATTATGGCCAAACAGTTCTATTTTTGTTTCATCAGACCAGAGGGCATTTATCCAAAAAGTACAATCTTTGTCCCCATGTGCAGTTGTAAACCGTTGTCTGGCTTTTTTATGGCGGTTTTGGAGCAGTGGCTTCTTCCTTGCTGAGTGGCCTTTCAGGTTATGTCGATATAGGACTTGTTTTACTGTGGATATAGATACTTTTGTACCCGTTTCCTCCAGCATCTTCACAAGGTCCTTTGCTGTTGTTCTGGGATTGATTTGCACTTTCCGCACCAAAGTACGTTCATCTCTAGGAGACAGAACGCATCTCCTTCCTGAGCGGTATGACGGCTGTGTGGTCCCATGGTGTTTATACTTGCGTACTATTGTTTGTACAGATGAACGTGGTACCTTCAGGCGTTTGGAAATTGCTCCCAAGGATGAACCAGACTTGTGGAGGTCTACCATTTTTTTTTTTTAGATCTTGGCTGATTTCTTTTGATTTTCCCATGATGTCAAGCGATGAGGCACTGAGTTTGAAGGTAGGCCTTGAAATACATCCACAGGTACACCTCCAATTGACTCGAATGATGTCAATTAGCCTATCAGAAGCTTCTAAAGCCATGACGAAATTTTCCAAGCTGTTTAAAAGGCGCAGTCAACTTAGTGTATGTAAACTTCTGACCCACTGGAATTGTGATACAGTGAATTATGTGAAATAATCTGTCCGTAAACAATTGTTGGAAAAATGACTCGTGTCATGCACAAAGTAGATGTCCTAACCGACTTGCCAAAACTATAGTTTGTTAACAAGAAATGTGTGGAGTGGTTGAAAAACAAGTTTTAATGACTCCAACCTAAGTGTATATAATATACCAAAGTACTTTTATCTCTAGGAGACAGAACGCGTCTCCTTCCTGAGCGGTATGACGGCTGCGTGGTCCCATGGTGTTTATACTTGCGTACTAAGGCACAGTCAACTTAGTGTATGTAAACTTCCGACTTCAACTGTACCTGTGTTTTATATATATAGCGCCTTCGTAAGGTTCAGACCCCTTGACTTTTTCCACGTTGTAACGTTACAGCCTTATTCTAAAATGGATCACATTGTTTTTTCTCCCCTCATCAATCTACACACAATACCCCATAATGACAACGCACAAACAGGTCTAGACATTTTTACAAATGTAAAACAAAAAACTGAATTATCACTTTTACATAAGCATTCAGTGAAGCACCTTTGGCAGCGATTACAGCCTCAAGTCTTCTTGGGTATGACGCTACAAGCTTGGCACACCTGTATTTGGGGAGTTTCTCCCATTCTTCTCTGCAGATCCTCTCAAGCTCTGTCAGGTTAGATGGGGAGCGTTGCTGCACAGCTATTTTCAGGTCTCTCCAGAGATGTTCGATCTGGTTAAAGTCCGGGCTCTGGCTGGGCCACTCAAGGACATTCAGAGACTTGTCCCGAAGCCACTCCTGCGTTGTCTTGGCTGTGTGCTTAGGGTCGTTGTCCTGTTGGAAGGTGAACCTTCAGCCCAGTCTGAGGTCCTGAGCGCTCTGGAGCAGGTTTTCATCAAGGATCTCTCTGTACTTTGTTCCGTTCATCTTTCCCTCGATCCTGACTAGTCTCCCAGTCCCTGCCGCTGAAAAACATCCCCACAGCATGATGCTGCCACCACCATGCTTCACCATAGGGATGGTGTTAGGTTTCCTCCAGACGTGACGCTTGGCATTCAGGCAAATAATTCAATCTTGGTTTCATCAGACCAGAGGATCTTGTTTCTCATGGTGTGAGAGTCCTTTAGGTGCCTTTTGGCAAACTCCAAGCGTGCTGTCATGTGCCTTTTACTGAGGACTTCCGTCTGGCCTTTCTACCATCAAGGCCTGATTGGTGGAGTGCTGCAGAGATGGTTGTCCTTCTGGAAGGTTCTCCCATCTCCACAGAGGAACTCTGGAGCTCTGTCAGAGTGACCATCAGGTTCTTGGACACCTCCTTGACCAAAGCTCTTCTCCCCCGATTGCTCAGTTTAACCGGGTGTCTTGGTGGTTCCAAACTTTTCCATTTAAGAATGATGGAGGCCAATGTGTTCTTGGGGACTTTCAATGCTGCAGACATTTTTTGATAACCTTCTCCAGATCTGTACCTCGACACAATACTGTCTCGGAACTCTACGGACAATTCCTTCGACCTCATGGCTTGGTTTTTGCTCTGACATGCACTGTCAACTGTGGGACATTTTACATTACATTTTAGTCATTTAGCAGGCACTCTTATCCAGAGCGACTTACAGTTAGTGAGTGCATTCATTTTCATACTGGGGCCTTATATAGACAGGTGTGTGTGCCTTTCCAAATCATGTCCAATCAATTGAATTTACCACAGGTGGACTCCAATCAACTTGTTGAAACATCAAGGAGGATCCTTGATACGCCTAAGCTCAATTTCGAGTCTCATAGCAACGGGTCTGAATACTTATGTAAATAAGGTATGTTTTTTATTTGTAATAAATTAGCAAAAATGTCAAAAAACCTGTTCTCGAGTTGTCATTATGGGGAATTGCGTGTAGATTGATGAGGGGAAAAAATATTGAATCCATTTTAGAATAAGGCTGTAACGTAACAAAATGTGAAAAAAGTGAAGGGGTCTGAATACTTTCCGAATGCACTGTATGCCCACACTATGAGGGTGAAGATGATGATAATGGCCTTTAGTGCTGTTTGAGAAGACTGACTATAATTTCAGCCGGTTTAGGATGTTTTGGTGATATCACTGCTGGTACTGGGGTGAAACGTGCTTTTATAAGCCCAGTCATGAGCAACAAATAATTCTAAATGCATGTTAAAAACTGTTTTGATGGTCATGATTTAAAAGAGCTACAATTTTTATTTCTCAAGCTCAACTCATAATTAAAGCACGCTACCCATTCGCCATTCGAGTGCTATAGTCAACGGTATGCAAGCTATTATTATTACTATCAGCGCGTCAACCACCGCTTTACAATGTGAGCTTAAGGCAGTATAATTGTTTGAAACCTGAACGTTTTGCTTTTCTTCAAATAATGAGGAACGTCTTACCTTGCTTTCAAATTAGCTTAGCCAAAATCAAACCATAGAAATGTGGAGGCGATTCTTTTATAAAGACTTCCCCTGCATGTCGCTCCTGTTCAATTGGTTTTCATTACAACTTAATTTCTTTGTTCGAGATCATAGTGTTAGAACACTTAAAGCCTCAAGGATGATCCAACTTTAAACCTTTTGGGGGGCTAGCCACAACAGTCAACAAGCTAGTTAGCTGTTTAGCTTGCTAGCACATTTACAAATTCGTTTTTGTAAACAATTAACAAGCCAGTTAGCTACCACATGTACTTGTCAAACTGTAAACAGACAAGATATGATAAATAAAAGTATTGACTGCAAATAAATCTGATTTGACCATTCAGACACAAGTCGCATGGCCAGGAATCCGATTTGTATCTGATTTCAAACCACGTATGAATGTGGTTTAAATCTGCCTTGAAAATATCAGATTCCATGTGCCTTTTGGCTGTTCACACTGTAGGAAAAAGATCAGACTTGAATCTGATACGCAACAAAATTTGATTTAAATCACTTCAAACTGTCAGTGTGAACAAGGCTTAATGGTTCTGATATGCCCACATGAAGAGAATTTGGGCCGTATCTCCTGTATGGACTAAAGGGAGTAAAAAAAAAAAAGACAGCGAGCGACTATGTGACCCACGTTGGTCTCGCTCTCCTCCCTGCTGCAGCGACCACCACAGAAACTCAACAGTGTTACAGGTTACTGCCTAAGTGTGTGGAGGGGAAAGCAACAATATTAAAAAAGGTCCAAAGCAGCCGTTTTTATCTCAATATCAAATCATTTCTGGGTAACCATTAAGTACACTACACAACCCAACATTAACATTTCAGTTGGTTACATAGACAGCTACCCTATTTCACTCCCTACATACACTACACGACCAAAAGTATGTGGACACCTGCTCGTCCAACATCTCATTCCAAAAATCATGGACATTAATATGGAGTTGGTCCCCCCTTTGCTGCTATAACAGCCTCCACTCTTCTGGGAAGGCTTTCCACTAGATGTTGGAACATTGCTGCGGGGACTTGTTTCCATTCAACCACAAGAGCATTAGTGAGGTCGGGCACTGATGTTGGGCGATTAGGCCTGGCTAGCAGTCTGCGTTCCAATTCATCCCAAAGGTATTCGATGGGGTTGAGGTCAGGGCTCTGTGCAAGCCAGTCAAGTTCTTCCACTCCAATCTTGACAAACCATTTCTGTATGGACCTCGCTTTGTGCACAGGGCATTGTCATGCTGAAAAAGGTAAGGGCCTTCCCCAAACTGTTGCCACAAAGTTGGAAGCACAGAATCGTCTAGAATGTCATTGTATGCTGTAGCGTTAAGATTTCCCTTCACTGGAACTAAGGGGCCTAGCCCGAACCATGAAAAACAGCCCCAGACCATTATTCCTCCTCCACCAAACTTTACAGTTGGCACTATGCATTGGGGCAGGTAGCGTTCTCCTGGCATCCGCCAAACCTAGATTCGTCCGTCAGACTGCCAGATGGTGAAGCGTGATTCATCACTCCAGAGAACGCGTTTCCATTGCTCCAGAGTCCAATGGCGACGAGCTTTACACCACTCCAGCCGACGCTTGGCATTGCGCATGGTGATCTTAGGCTTGTGTGCGGCTGCTCGGCCATGGAAACCCATTTCATGAAGCTCCCGAGGAACAGTTCTTGTGCTGATGTTGCTTCCAGAGGCAGTTTGGAACTCGGTAGTGAGTGTTGCAACCGAGGACAGACGATTCAGCGGTCCAGTTGTGTGGCCTACCACTTCGCAGCTCAGCCGTTGTTGCTCCTAGATGTTTAAACTTCACAATAACAGCACTTACAGTTGACCATTCTACTGCCAATGTTTGTCTATAGAGATTGCATGACTGTGTGCTCGATTTTATACACCTGTCAGCAACGGGTGTGGCTGAAATAGCAGAATCCACTAATTTGAATGGGTGTCCACATACTTTTGTATATATAGTGTACATTACTGTGATTGTTTTCAATTAAAATCAAAAAGAAACAAAAATAGCTTCTTAGCAAGAGCAATTTCTCAAGTAAAGAACTTTGGACTGTCAGTGATCTGAGTGGGGCTAGGACTGTCTGGGAGTGGGGAGGGGAAAACCAAAACGAGCTGTTATTGGCAGAAAGGTTTGGAACTCTCTTATTGGTCTATTAACTAATTTAACGGCTGGTGATGTCACTGTAGGCTCGGCCCTAATTTAAGTGCTCTCGGTCACCCTCTGGCCGCATGGCAAATGGACCAAGACAATGCCCAAGGACCAGTCAGCCCTTCCCCCTCTGACGTTAGCTACCTAGCTAATCAAAATGTCTGCTTGCATTTATTGATTAACCTCAGCTTGACTACCACCATATAGCTATTTATAAACAGTGGGTTAACCTCAGCTTGACTACCACCATCTTATCCCATTGTTCTGTCTCTTACCCTGTGTCCAGTCCATCGAGGTATGAACAATTCTAATTTCCTAGGCATCTCTTTTTTCATGCTTGGTCTTGTAAGTTAACCTAGGACCTAGAACAAACATATAACCGCAACATGCAACAATTTCAAAAATGTACAGTTCATATAAGGAAATCAGTCAATTGAAATAAATAAATTAGGTCGTAATCTATGGATTTCACATGACTGGGAATACATATATGAATCTGTTGGTCACAGATACCTTTAAAAAAGGTAGGGGCGTGGATCAGAAAACCAGTCAGTATCAGGTGTGACCACCATTTTCCTCATGCAGCTTGACACATCTCCTTCACATAGAGGGCAGTTGATTGGGGCGAGTGAAATGTTGTCCCACTCCTCCTCAATGGCTGTGCGAAGAAGCTGGATATTGGCGGGAACTGGAACATGCTGTCGTACACGTCAATCCAGAGCATCCCAAACATGCTCAATGGGTGACATGTCTGGTGAGTATGCAGGCCATGGAAGAACTGGGACATTTTCAGCTTCCAGAAATTGTGTACAGATCCTTGCGACATGGGACCGTGCATTATCATGCTGAAACATTAAGTGATGGCACGACAATGGGCCTCAGGATCTCGTCACGGTATCTCTGTGCATTCAAATTGCCATTGATAAAATGCAATTGTGTTTGTTGTCCGTAGCTTATGCCTGCCCATACCATAACCCCACCGCCATCATGGGGCACTGTTTACAACGTTGACATCAGCAAACCGCTCGCACACATGACGCCATACATGTGGTCTGTGGTTGTGAGGACGGTTGGACGTACTGCCAAATTCTCTAAAACGACGTTCAAGGTGGCTTATGGTAGAGAAATGAACATTCAATTCTCTGGCAACAGCTCTGGTGGACATTCCTGCAGTCAGCATGCCAATTGCACTCCCTCAAAACTTGAGACATCTGTGGCATTGTGCTGTATGACAAACTGCACATTTTAGAGTGGCCTTTTATTGTCCCCAGCACAAGGTGCACCTGTGTAATAATCATGCCGTTTAATCAGCTTCTTGATAATCCATCCACCTGATAGGTGTGGCATATCTTGGCAAAGGGAAAATGCTCACTAACAGGGATGTAAACAAATTTGAGAGAAATAAGCTTTTTGTGCGTATGGAACATTTCTGGGATCTTTTATTTCAGCTCATGAAACATGGGACCAACACTTTACATGTTGCGTTTATATTTTAGTTCAGTGTATATGCCTAGAATTATGCTTTGTTAATGTCAGTATTGCCTTGTAACTTAGGTTTATGCCTTGTATGTGAATCCATTCATTTGACTAAGTTATTAAATAATACTTGCTTTGATATTCGCTTCTCATGACCATTTCTTGATCTTAGTCGGCAAAAGCATAATACTTGATTGCACATGGTTTTACTATAACGTTAAATGGAATCAGATATTCTGTTTAATAGACTTGAATCATATTAATAGGACGGTTGATTCATGGGTCGCATGTGAGGTATATAATATCCACATATCAAAGACTACCCCAATAAATCACCAGACAGGCCAAAACTCCATCCCACCTAAACAGGCTGACATTTCAGGCAGTCTTTTCAAACTGCTCTTACACTAAAAGGGCATTATCATCATTATCATCATTATCATCATTATCATCATTTTCACAATTTCACAGTATTATTCCAACCTCATAGTGTGGATATACAGTTGAAGTCGGAAGTTTACATACACTTAGTTTGGAGTCATTAAAACTTGTTTTTCAACCTCTCCACAAATGTCTTGTTAACAAACTATAGTTTTGGCAAGTCGGTTAGGACATCTACTTTGTGCATGACAAGTAATTTTTCCAACAATTGTTTACAGACAGATTATTTCACTTATAATTCACTGTATCACAATTCCAGTGGGTCAGAAGTTTAAAGGCACAGTCAATTTAGTGTATGTAAACAGCTTGGAATATTCCAGAAAATGATGTCATGGCTTTAGAAGCTTCTGATAGGCAAATTTACATAATTTCAGTCAATTGAAGGTGTACCTGTGGATGCATTTTGAGGTGTACCTGTGGATGTATTTCAAGGCCTACCTTCAAACTCAGTGCCTCTTTGCTTGACATCATGGGAAAATCAAATGAAATCAGCCAAGACCTCAGGAAAAAAATGGTACACCTCCACAAGTCTGGTTCATCCTTGGGAGCAATTTCCAAATGCCTGAAGGTACCACATTCATCTGTACAAACAATGGTACGCAAGTATAAACACCATGGGACCACGCAGCCATCATACCGCTCAGGAAGGAGACGCGTTCTGTCTCCTGGAGATGAACGTACTTTGGTGCGGAAAGTGCAAATCAATCCCAGAACAACAGCAAAGGACCTTGTGAAGATGCTGGAAGAAACAGGTACAAAAGTATCTATATCCACAATAAAACGAGTCCTATATCGACATAACCTGAAAGGCCGCTCAGCAAGGAAGAAGCCACTGCTCCAAAACTGCCATAAAAAAGCCAGACAATGGTTTGCAACTGCACATGGGGACAAATATTGTACTTTTTGGAGAAATGTCCTCTGGTCTGATGAAACAAAAATAGAACTGTTTGGCCATAATGACCATCGTTATGTTTGGAGGAAAAAGGGGGATGCTTGCAAGCCGAAGAACACCATCCCAACCGTGAAGCACGGGGGTGGCAGCATCATGCTGTGGGGGTGCTTTGCTGCAGGAGGGACTGGTGCACTTCACAAAATAGATGGCATCATGAGGAAGGAAAATGATGTGGATATATTGAAGCAACATGAACACATCAGTCGGGAAGTTAAAGCTTGGTCGCAAATGGGTCTTCCAAATGGACAATGACCCCAAGCATACTTCCAAAGTTGTGGCAAAATGGCTTAAGGACAACAAAGTCAAGGTATTGGTGTGGCCATCACAAAGCCCTGACCTCAATCTTATAGAACATTTGTGGGCAGAACTGAAAAAGCGTGCGTGAACAAGGAGGCCTACAAACCTGACTCAGTTACACCAGCTCTGTCGGGAGGAATGGGCCAAAATTCACCCAACTTATTGTGGGAAGCTTGTGGAAGGTTACCCGAAACGTTTGACCCAAGTTAAACAAATTAAAGGCAATGCTACCAAATACTAATTGAGTGTATGTAAACTTCTGACCCACTGGGAATGTGATGAAATAAATAAAAGCGGAAATAAATCACTCTACTATTATTCTGACATTTCACATTCTTAAAATGAAGTGGTGATCCTAACTGACCTAAGACAGGGAATATTTACTAGGATTAAATGTCAGGAATTGTGAAAAACTGAGTTTAAATGTATTTGGCTAAGGTGTATGTAAACTTCCAACTTCAACTGTATATACAAAAACACAGGAAAGACTGGGACTTTAAACGTTTTACATGGTCCTTTACGAGATTCTGTGGAGATTTCATCCTGACGGTACTAGGACTAATATCTACAACCAATAGAGATATCATCCTGACGGTACTAGGACTAATATCTACAACCAATAGAGATATCATCCTGACGGTACTAGGACTAATATCTACAACCAATAGAGATATCATCCTGACGGTACTAGGACTAATATCTACAACCAATAGAGATATCATCCTGACGGTACTAGGACTAATATCTACAACCAATAGAGATATCATCCTGACGGTACTAGGACTAACATCTACAACCAATAGAGATATCATCCTGACGGTACTAGGACTAATATCTACAACCAAACCATGGAACAATAACAACAACAGTCCTGTGTTGAGTCTCTAAATCAGACAGACTTATTAAGTACACATGATGTAGTATACATTCATCTATACATCTTTAGCTGTGAAACATTTCAGCCTTTACTGACATTTATTACACTCTAAAATTAGATTAGAAACAGCAGATTAATACTGAAGAGTGTAAATCCAGAACTAATGACTAGTACTGTTAGTAGAAGCAGTTAACATGACTGGTTACAAATAACACACAAAAAGGGTTGAAACAAAACCCATGCTACTTACTTGTTGCCTCCCACTCAGACTTGCTCAATGTTCCCTGTACAGAAACAAGGAGCAATACAGATGGTCACAATGCCGTTTCTGTACATTGGATATTCTAATGTTTCTTATAAACACTGTCCTTGGGTACCATGAAAGGCTCTTGATTAGAAATGCATCTATTACATTAGTGTAAACACTTTCACTGACTGCATCATTCAAATTTTTAAAAGGGGTAATCTGCACTTCAAACAACAACAAAAGCATCACCCCATCACTTGTTTTGGTAAACAGCTGAGGGATGGGGCTGGAGAATTGTAAAAATGTATAGACAGAGCTATGGATCCGAGGGCTGACGATCCATGAGATCAAAATAATAGTTTTAACCATGTTTAGGGGCTATAGAGTGTTTGTTTCCATTATCTACCTTAGAGAAAACAAGGTTATATTTTGAGTTCTGATGGGGTACGACAGTTTAACTAATCTCATGAGGCATTCATAAATTATATTCTTCAAGAATTAATGGGTATATCATTAATTTAAAAAATCCCAAAATGTTTGTATGTATTCAATAGCAGATTGCCCCTTTAAAGAAAGTAATTTTACAAAGCTAAAAAGTTCTCAAAGTTATATCTCATTGTATAAATCTCAGTGCTTCCCCCAATACTTTTTTCAGCAGTGGTGGCAAAGTTGGCGTGGGGTGGGGGGGTTGATAGTGGGGGTGGGGGGTTGATAGTGGGGGTGTGGGGGTTGACAGTGGGGGTGTGGGGGTTGATAGTGGGGGTGTGGGGGTTGATAGTGGGGGTGGGCAATGGCATGGTTTTAGAGGACCTCTAAAACCATGCCAAAATTGTAATGTTTTAAAGCAAATTTCCTGCAATTCTCCACATTTCGCTATGGGGCGGAGAGAACATTTTAAAGCTAGTTTCCTGTAATTCCACACATTTTGCCATGTTCTTATGCTGTCTGAGTGACTCAAACATTATCACAAAATCAATGTATGCCATGAAATGTTTTGTATTTTAGATTCTCCCCGTCTAGTTTTTATTTGGTGATCGTTTGTTCTTGAAGATGATCTTATTTAAAAACATAGTTCCATTATCTTTTCTACATACTTTTTATGTGAGTTTAGTGGTTTAAATTTACACTGAAAACACTTCATCTAAATCTCCATTGAAGTCATGGAGTTGTGCTTGTCAATATGAAGATAGGTCCCAAGACAGAGACATTCATTATCTCTTACCAGCGGCAGCTTGACATTAGGGCTGTCAGCCTTTCTCTTGGCGTGATCATAATCATCAAGGCTGTCTGAGGATGACTTGTTCCTGTTTTCTGTCGGGAAAGACTGACACAACAACACAATTAGTTACAGCAACATCACCCTTTTCCTTTTAGAAGCTCTGTCCAGCCAGGTTATGAGTCACACCGTGGCGTCGCTGACTCACAGTGTGTCTATAATACACTCCGGATACATAAAGAGACTTGTTTTTGGTTACTAATGTTAAGAACACTTCTTTCTCTGCAGAGGTTCTAGACAGGACAGCACAGATGGGGACTATATCAAATTGAAGGCTGTTGCTCCAGGCTAGTGAAGACTTGATATTGTTTTCAGATGCTACAAAGACACATGATATCTAAAGAATGGTTCATTCCTCACGTCAAAAGATATGGGACGTCATTAAAACAATTCCTGTTTCATCAAATCATAAAAATGTATCTTTAATAAATGAGTGTGACCTTTGCATTGCATTAATCTAAAGTACAGCTTTTCTGTCCAGTTTGCATTGAACTGTGTTATCTTCACGTCACATAATTAACAGAGGTACTGGTGTCTCTGTAACGGAGAGTCATATTATTAAACACAATTGACAAGCGTTCCACTAATTATTCTGCATCAATGAACATGAGACACCACTGTGGGCAAAGGCTACATTTAGTAGCCTATAGCTAGTGGGGTAAAGTAGTGGGGACTTTGAATCCCCCACCTGCAGACATTTAATACGTTGTCTTGAATACAATAACCTTCTTGCAAAGATCCTGGTTCCTCATGGTTTTTTATTTCTGTTTCATTGATCAGTCCAGGTAACTGATTCATCTATTGATGCATATTGATCAGTCCAGGTAACTGATTAATCTATTGATGTACACTACCGTTCAAAAGTTTGGGGTCACTTAGAAATTTCCTTGTTTTCCATGAAAACATACATGAAATGAGTTTGAATAGGAAATATAGCAAAGCATAGGAAATGTAGTCATTGACAAGGTTAGAAATAATGATTTTTTATATAAATAATAATTGTGTCCTTCAAACTTTGCTTTCGTCAAAGAATCCTCCATTTGCAGCAATTACAGCCTTGCAGACCTTTGGCATTCTAGTTGTTAATTTGTTGAGGTAATCTGAAGAGATTTCACCCCACGCTTCCTGAAGCACCTCCCACAAGTTGGATTGGCTTGATGGGCACTTCTTACATAACATACGGTCAAGCTGCTCCCACAACAGCTCAATAGGGTTGAGATCCGGTGACTGTGCTGGCCACTCCATTATAGACAGAATACCAGCTGACTGCTTCTTCCCTAAATAGTTATTGCATAGTTTGGAGCTGTGCTTTGGGTCATTGTCCTGTTGTAGGAGGAAATTGGCTCCAATCAAGCGCCGTCCACAGGGTATGGCATGGCGTTGCGAAATGGAGTGATACCCTTCCTTCTTCAAGATCCCTTTTACCCTGTACAAATCTCCCACTTTACCACCACCAAAGCACCCCCAGACCATCATATTGCCTCCACCATGCTTGACAGATGGCATCAAGCACTCCTCCAGCATCTTTTCATTTGGTCTGCGTCTCACAAATGTTCTTTGTGATCCGAACACCTCAAACTTCGATTCGTCTGTCCATAACTTTTTTCTAATCATCCTCTGTCCAGTGTCTGTGTTCTGTTGCCCATCTTAATCTTTACTTTTTATTGGCCAGTCTGAGATATGGCTTTTTCTTTGGGACTCTGCCTAGAAGGTCAGCATCCCGGAGTCGCCTCTTCACTGTTGGCGTTGAGACTGGTGTTTTGCGGGTACTATTTAATGAAGCTGCCAGTTGAGGACCTGTGAGGCGCCTGTTTCTCAAAATAGACACTCTAATGTATTTGTCCTCTTGCTCAGTTGTGCACCGGGGCCTCCCACTCCTCTTTCTATTCTGGTTAGAGCCAGTTTGCGCTGTTCTGTGAAGGGAGTAGTACACAGCGTTGTACGAGATCTTCAGGTTCTTGGCAATTTCTCGCATGGAATAGCCTTCATTTCTCAGAACAAGAATAGACTGACGAGTTTCAGAAGAAAGTTCTTTGTTTCTGGCCATTTTGAGCCTGTAATCGAACCCACAATTGCTGATGCTCCAGATACTCAACTAGTCTCAAGAAGGCCAGTTTTATTGCTTCTTTAAATCAGCACAACAGTTTTTATCTGTGCTAACATAATTGCAAAAGGGTTTCCTAATGATCAATTAGCCTTTTAAAATGATCAACTTGGATTACCAAACACAACGTGCCATTGGAACAGAGGACTGATGGTTGCTGATAATGGGCCTCTGTACGCCTATGTAGATATTCCATTAACAATCAGCCGTTTCCAGCTACAATAGCAATTTACAACATTAACAATGTCTACACTGTATTTCTGATCCATTTTATGTTATTTTAAATGGACAAAAAAAATGGCTTTTCTTTTCGAAAACAAGGCCATTTCTAAGTGACCCCAAACTGTTGAACGGTAGTGTGTATTGATCCCCAAACTGTTGAACGGTAGTGTGTATTGATCCCCAAACTGTTGAACGGTAGTGTGTATTGATCCCCACTGTTGAACGGTAGTGTGTATTGATCCCCACTGTTGAACGGTAGTGTGTATTGATCCCCACCGTTGAACGGTAGTGTGTATTGATCCCCAAACTGTTCCACTGTTGAACGGTAGGGTGTATTGATCCCCAAACTGTTGAACGGTAGGGTGTATTGATCCCCAAACTGTTGAACGGTAGGGTGTATTGATCCCCACTGTTGAACGGTAGTGTGTATTGATCCCCACTGTTGAACGGTAGGGTGTATTGATCCCCAAACTGTTGAACGGTAGGGTGTATTGATCCCCAAACTGTTGAACGGTAGTGTGTATTGATCCCCACCGTTGAACGGTAGGGTGTATTGATCCCCAAACTGTTCCACTGTTGAACGGTAGGGTGTATTGATCCCCACTGTTGAACGGTAGTGTGTATTGATCCCCACCTCCAGTGCTTGCATCCTCTGCATCAACATCTTGTGCTGGTTGTTCTTTATGTGCTCCTCAAAGAACTGGGAGAACGTCTTCTTAAACACCAGACGCATGTTGTACTTCTTGGCCATCCTGTCAATAGAAAACACTAGCTCAGCTCTCTGGTAAGAGACTAATATAAAGTATATTTATAAGAAACTGAATCTGAGACATTGGTGACATTTCACCTTGGGATCAAAATATTTAAAAACTATAAAAATGTATTTACCTTTAAATACAAAGACGTTATCAATGAAACCATTCTGTTTGTGAGGTAAAGTTTTGCCAGACGCATTACTGATTCCATGTAATCCCTGTCCACCACCTTCTGGTATCTTCTAATATTACAATATGACTAAAATACCAAGTCAAGACAGTTCAAAGGTTGAAAACAAATGTTATGCCAGGGGTTGGAACCGGTTCAGGGAACAGAACCGAAAGAAAAAAAGATTCAAGGAACTGAAATGGAAACTGGAATGGAAGTGAACCAGACCGTTACTTCGAAAGCATGGGAACCTGTTAATAACGTTATTTTACATTCCATGCATTTCTTTCTAGTCCCACAACAACAACAAAAACGCAACAAAGCGCCTATGCAAACCCCTCATTGTCTCAGTCAGAAACATATTCCAGTGTCTGCAAGCTGAACATCTTTACCAGTGTGTTCAGGCCTTCCTCCCCCTCTGAAGCAGAGGCTTCTGTACTGACGTTACAAGCGTGATTCAGAAATTAGGGAGAGAGAGATTGTTAATTAGCTAGAGAAGAATGGATTAACTTTTTCAATGCTAGTTAAAGTTACTATAGCCTTGTTATCACGTTTCACGTTGGATTTATTAACTACAAAAAGGTAAGACGTGTTTTTAATTCTGGTGCCGCTCTGCACAAACAAGCTTGCTAGTTCAAAGGACATTCAACGTTCCTCCATAGAAGCCGCTCCTCCTAGTTATAATTCTGTGGACCTAATTCAGATAATGCATGTCATAACAAGATGCCCAGCGCTTCAAGCCTCCTCCTCAACACGCTCTCGCTCTCTCCCCATCCGCAAAGTTTCAGTCGCACCTTGTGCCATTGGCTACACTTCTGTCCATCACTCATGTAACCAACCAGCCTGCCTGCTCTGTCAGCACTGATTGGTGAAGTCATTTAATGAGCTAAATGTAAAAAAGGAACAGAAAATAATAATATAAACCAGTACTTTTTTGGGGGGGGTTCGAACCAGTTCAGAACTTTATTTTGCTGGTCGGAACAGTGGAATGGAACGAAAAAAATAGTGGTTCTGTTCAGAATGAAACGATTGGAAATTAATTTAACTTCCAACCCCTGGTAATGACATCTACTTCCATTTCCACAAGCAGGTGGATTCACTTGACCAACATGTCATAACCCTTCCTCTGGTAACCCTTCCTCTGGTAACCCTTCCTCTGGTAACCCTTCCTCTGGTAACCCTTCCTCTGGTAACCCTTCCTCTGATAACCCTTACTCTGGTAACCCTTACTCTGGTAACCCTTCCTCTGGTAACCCTTCCTCTGGTAACCCTTCCTCTGGTAACCCTTACTCTGATAACCCTTACTCTGGTAACCCTTCCTCTGGTAACCCTTCCTCTGGTAACCCTTCCTCTGATAACCCTTACTCTGGTAACCCTTACTCTGGTAACCCTTACTCTGGTAACCCTTCCTCTGGTAACCCTTCCTCTGGTAACCCTTCCTCTGGTAACCCTTCCTCTGATAACCCTTACTCTGGTAACCCTTCCTCTGGTAACCCTTCCTCTGGTAACCCTTACTCTGGTAACCCTTACTCTGGTAACCCTTACTCTGATAACCCTTACTCTGATAACCCTTCCTCTGATAACCCTTACTCTGATAACCCTTACTCTGATAACCCTTACTCTGGTAACCCTTCCTCTGATAACCCTTCCTCTGGTAACCCTTACTCTGGTAACCCTTACTCTGGTAACCCTTACTCTGGTAACCCTTACTCTGGTAACCCTTACTCTGATAACCCTTACTCTGGTAACACTTACTCTTCAAACAGGGGGAAATAAACCAGGAACTCTGGGACATTGACCACCCCCTCCAGATTAAAGTCATACTGACAGCCGAACAGAGGGTAATGGCCCTTCTTCTGAAACGTCACGCTGAACACCTCGTTACCAAAGGAGTTGGAGTCTATGGCTTCCACACGCTTCCTGAAGAGGAACAGAGCACAGGTAGATATCATGTCGTCAAGCCACTGACAGTAACCATCAGGTAGATATCATGTCATCAAGCCACTGACAGTAACCATCAGACCAGCAGGTAGATATCATGTCATCAAGCCACTGACAGTAACCATCAGACCAGCAGGTAGATATCATGTCATCAAGCCACTGACAGTAGCCATCAGACCAGCAGGTAGATATCATGTCGTCAAGCCACTGACAGTAGCCATCAGACCAGCAGGTAGATATCATGTCGTCAAGCCACTGACAGTAACCATCAGACCAGCAGGTAGATATCATGTCGTCAAGCCACTGACAGTAACCATCAGACCAGCAGGTAGATATCATGTCGTCAAGCCACTGACAGTAACCATCAGACCAGCAGTAGATATCATGTCGTCAAGCCACTGACAGTAACCATCAGACCAGCAGGTAGATATCATGTCGTCAAGCCACTGACAGTAACCATCAGACCAGCAGGTAGATATCATGTCATCAAGCCACTGACAGTAACCATCAGACCAGCAGGTAGATATCATGTCATCAAGCCACTGACAGTAACCATCAGACCAGCAGGTAGATATCATGTCATCAAGCCACTGACAGTAACCATCAGACCAGCAGGTAGATATCATGTCATCAAGCCACTGACAGTAACCATCATACCAGCAGGTAGATATCATGTCATCAAGCCACTGACAGTAACCATCAGACCAGCAGGTAGATATCATGTCGTCAAGCCACTGACAGTAACCATCAGACCAGCAGGTAGATATCATGTCATCAAGCCACTGACAGTAACCATCAGACCAGCAGTTAGATATCATGTCGTCAAGCCACTGACAGTAACCATCAGACCAGCAGGTAGATATCATGTCGTCAAGCCACTGACAGTAACCATCAGACCAGCAGGTAGATATCATGTCATCAAGCCACTGACAGTAACCATCAGACCAGCAGGTAGATATCATGTCGTCAAGCCACTGACAGTAACCATCAGGTAGATATCATGTCATCAAGCCACTGACAGTAACCATCAGACCAGCAGGTAGATATCATGTCATCAAGCCACTGACAGTAACCATCAGACCAGCAGGTAGTATCATGTCATCAAGCCCTGACAGTACCCATCAGGACCAGCATGGTAGATATCATGTCCGTCAAGCCAACTGACAGTAACCATCAGACCAGCAGGTGGTAGTATTAAGTCATCAAGCCACTGGACATAACCCATCAGACCAGCAGGTAGGATATCATGTCGTCAAGCCACTGACAGTAACCATCAGACCAGCATGGTAGATATCATGGTCCATCAGGCCAACTGACAGTAACCATCAGACCAGCAGGTAGATATCATGTCATCAAGCCACTGACAGTAACCATCAGACCAGCAGGTAGATATCATGTCGTCAAGCCACTGACAGTAACCATCAGACCAGCAGGTAGATATCATGTCGTCAAGCCACTGACAGTAACCATCAGACCAGCAGGTAGATATCATGTCGTCAAGCCACTGACAGTAACCATCAGGTAGATATCATGTCGTCAAGCCACTGACAGTAACCATCAGACCAGCAGGTAGATATCATGTCATCAAGCCACTGACAGTAACCATCAGACCAGCAGGTAGATATCATGTCATCAAGCCACTGACAGTAACCATCAGACCAGCAGGTAGATATCATGTCGTCAAGCCACTGACAGTAACCATCAGACCAGCAGGTAGATATCATGTCGTCAAGCCACTGACAGTAACCATCAGACCAGCAGGTAGATATCATGTCATCAAGCCACTGACAGTAACCATCAGACCAGCAGGTAGATATCATGTCATCAAGCCACTGACAGTAACCATCAGACCAGCAGGTAGATATCATGTCATCAAGCCACTGACAGTAACCATCAGGTAGATATCATGTCATCAAGCCACTGACAGTAACCATCAGACCAGCAGGTAGCTTAGTGGGTAAGAGCGTTGTGCCAGTAACCGAAAGGTCGCTGATTCTAATCCCCAAGCCGACTAGGTGAAAAATCTGTCGATGTGCCCTTGAGCAAGGCACTTAACCCTAATTACTCCTGTAAGTCGCTCTGGATAAGAGCTTCTGCTAAATGACTAAAATGTAATGTAAAATGTAGATATCATGTCATCAAGCCACTGACAGTACCCATCAGACCAGCAGGTCCATAATATCATGTAGGTAGCCTTCCCACACTATCCGCCAGATGTTGGCACAAACTGTTGGCACACTCGCTATATAACGCACATTGTTTAGTAGAGTTGAAAATGTGATGGAAACCCATTTGTCTTGGATGATGATTGGAGGTGACTATAAAGTATCTACTTACACCAGTTCATATGTCTGGTGACTATGAAGTATCTACTTACACCAGTTCATATGTCTGGTGACTATGAAGTATCTACTTACACCAGTTCATATGTCTGGTGACTATGAAGTATCTACTTACACCAGTTCATATGCGTCTGGTGTGGTGCCTATGAAGTATCCTCCTGGTCTCAGCTGCTCACAGGCGTTCTTCAACATCAGATCCGCCTGCTGCTGTGTCTCAAAGGAGTAATGGTAGACAAACTGACAGCTGGTCACATCAAACTGCATCTCTGGATCCTTCAGCTTGTCTGTCAGCAGCTCCTGAAGGCAGAGCGGAACACAACATCACAGCTGCTACGTTGAAGGTATTGAGAGGTTGGAAGAATGTTAATGAAAGTAATGTGACATGGTGCCTCTGTAACACATTTCTATTTCTGCACACAGAACATTGTGATATTCTGATGTTCTAATTTTTACAGACCAAAACAAATGACCACTTCATGCTGTATGTGTAGAGACAGAGGGGGGGGGGGGCGTCTTCATGCTGTATGTGTAGAGACAGAGGGGGGGGGGGGGGGGCGTCTTCATGCTGTATGTGTAGAGACAGGGGGGGGGGGGTCTTCATGCTGTATGTGTAGAGACTGGGTGTACCTTGGTGCAGTCAGCTGTGATGAACTCTGCAGAGAAGATACGTTCGTTAGGATGACCCCTCTTCCTCATATCCTCATAACGAACCTGGCACTGATCCACCGATACTGCTGCTATGTCTGTCAACACAAGACAACATGGTAAACAACACAGCTGCTATGTCTGTCAACACAAGACAACATGGTAAACAACAACACAGCTGCTATGTCTATCAACAGGACAACAACACAGCTGCTATGTCTGACAACATGGTAAACAACAACACAGCTGCTATGTCTGTCAACACAAGACAACATGGTAAACAACAACACAGCTGCTATGTCTATCAACAGGACAACATGTAAACAACAACACAGCTGCTATGTCTATCAAACGGACAACATGGTAAACAAAAACACATCCTGCTATGTCTGACAACAGGACAAAAAGGGGTAAACAACAACACAGCTGCTAGTCCTGACACAGGACAACATGGTAAACAACAACACAGCTGCTATGTCTGACAACATGTAAACAACAACACAGCTGCTATGTCTGACAACAGGACAACAGGGTAAAAACAACACAGATGCTTGTCCCTGACAACAGGGGGAACACATGGGTAAAACAACAACACAGCCTGCTATGTCTGTCAACAATGGTAAACAACAACACGCGGCTAATGTATGTCAAACAGACAACATGGTAAACAACAAACACAGCTGCATTCGGAACAACAGGACAACAGGGGTAAAAACAACACAGCTGCCAATGTTCTGACAACATGACCCAGGGTAACAACAACAACACAGCTGCTATGTCTGACAACAGGACAACATGGTAAAAACACACACAGCTGCTATGTCTTGACAACATGGTAAACAACAACACAGCTGCATGTCGACAACATGGTAAACACAACACAGCTGCTGTTGACAACATGTAAACAACAACAAGCTGCTATGTCTATCAACAGGACAACATGGTAAACAACAACACAGCTGCTATGTCAACAGGACAACATGGTAAACAACAACACAGCTGCTATGTCTATCAACAGGACAACATGGTAAACAACAACACAGCTGCTATGTCTGACAACAGGACAACATGGTAAACAACAACACAGCTGCTATGTCTGGACAACATGGTAAACAACAACACAGCTGCTATGTATGTCAACAGGACAACATGGTAAACAACAACACAGCTGCTATGTCTATCAACAGGACAACATGGTAAACAACAACACAGCTGCTATGTCTATCAACAGGACAACATGGTAAACAACAACACAGCTGCTATGTCTGTCAACAGGACAACATGTAAACAACAACACAGCTGCTATGTCTGACAACATGGTAAACAACAACACAGCTGCTATGTCTTAACAGACAACATGGTAAACAACAACACAGCTGCTATGTCTGATCAACAGGACAACATGGTAAACAACAACACAGCTGCTATGTCTGACACATGGTAACAACAACAAGCTGCTGTTTGACAACATGGTAAACAACAACACAGCTGCTATGTCTATCAAACAGGACAACATGGTAAAAAACAACACAGCTGCTATGTCTTCAACAGGACAACATGGTAAACAACAACACAGCTGCTATGTTCTACAACAATGGTAAACAACAACACAGCTGCTATGTCTATCAACAGGACAACATGGTAAACAACAACACAGCTGCTATGTCTGTACAACATGGTAAACAACAACACAGCTGCTATGTTGACAAAACATGGTAAACAACAACACAGCTGCTATGTCTCAAAGGACAACATGGTAAACAACAACACAGCTGTATGTCTCAACAGACAACATGGTAAACAACAACACAGCTGCTATGTCTGTCCAACAGGACAACATGTAAACAACAACACAGCTGCTATGTTTCAACAGGACAACATGGTAAACAACAACACAGCTGCTATGTCTATCAACAGGACAACATGGTAAACAACAACACAGCTGCTATGTCACAACATGGTAACAACAACACAGCTGCTATGTCTGACAACATGGTAAACAACAACACAGCTGCTATGTCTGACAACATGGTAACAACAACACAGCTGATGTCTGACAACATGTAAACAACAACACAGCTGCTATGTCTATCAACAGGACAACATGGTAAACAACAACACAGCTGCTATGTCTGTCAACAGGACAACATGGTAAACAACAACACAGCTGCTATGTCTTCAACAGGACAACATGGTAAACAACAACACAGCTGCTATGTCTGTCAACAGGACAACATGGTAAACAACAACACAGCTGCTATGTATGTCAACAGGACAACATGGTTAACAACAACACAGCTGCTATGTCTTTCAACAGGACAACATGGTAAACAACAACACAGCTGCTATGTATGTCAACAGGACAACATGTAAACAACAACACAGCTGCTATGTCTGACAACATGGTAAACAACAACACAGCTGCTATGTCTATCAAACATGAAACTACATGGTAACAACCAACACAGGCTGCTATGTCTGACAACCATGGTAAACAACAACACCCAGCTGCTATGTCTATACAACAGGACAACATGGTAAACAACAACACATGCTGCTATGTCTGTCAACAGGACAACATGGTACACAACAACACAGCTGTTATGTCTTATCAACAGGACAACATGGTAAAACAACAACACGCTGCTATGTTCCGTATCAACAGGACAACATGGTAAACAACAACACTGCTGACTATGTCCTATCAAAACAGGACAACATTGGTAAAAAACAACAGCTTCTATGTTATCACAGGCAACACAGCTGCTATGTCTATCAACAGACAACATGGTAAACAACAACACAGCTGCTATGTCTATCACGACAACATGGTAAACAAACACAGCTGCTATGTCTATCAACAGGACAACATGATAAACAACAACACAGCTGCTATGTCTGACAACATTTAAACAACAACACAGCTGCTATGTCTGACAACATGGTAAACAACAACACAGCTGCTATGTCTGACAACATGTAAACAACAACACAGCTGCTATGTCTGACAACATGTAAACAACAACACAGCTATGTCTGACAACATGTAAACAACAACACAGCTGCTATGTCTATCAACAGGACAACATGGTAAACAACAACACAGCTGCTATGTCTGACAACATGGTAAACAACAACACAGCTGCTATGTCTATCAACAGGACAACATGGTAAACAACAACACAGCTGCTATGTCTGACAACATGGTAAAGAACAACACAGCTGCTATGTCTATCAACAGGACAACATGGTAAACAACAACACAGCTGCTATGTCTATCAACAGGACAACATGGTAAACAACAACACAGCTGCTATGTCTATCAACAGGACAACATGGTAAACAACAACACAGCTGCTATGTCTATCAACAGGACAACATGATAAACAACAACACAGCTGCTATGTCTGACAACATTTAAACAACAACACAGCTGCTATGTCTGACAACATTTAAACAACAACACAGCTGCTATGTCTATCAACAGGACAACATGGTAAACAACAACATAGCTGCTATGTCTGTCAACATGGTAAACAACAACACAGCTGCTATGTCTGACAACATGGTAAACAACAACACAGCTGCTATGTCTGTCAACAGGACAACATGGTAAACAACAACATAGCTGCTATGTCTGTCAACATGGTAAACAACAACACAGCTGCTATGTCTATCAACAGGACAACATGGTAAACAACACAGCTGCTATGTCTATCAACAGGACAACATGGTAAACAACAACACAGCTGCTATGTCTGTCAACATGACAACATGTAAACAACAACACAGCTGCTATGTCTGACAACATTTAAACAACAACACAGCTGCTATGTCTGACAACATGGTAAACAACACAGCTGCTATGTCTGTCAACACAAGACAACATATGAAAACTAAACTGTACTGCACCTCAAGGCTTCTTTTCAACAGGCCTTCCCCCATTTCTCATGTCCTCTCTCTCTTCCTACTGCTCAGAACATCAGCGAGGAGAGGTTTCTCATGTCCTCTCTCTTCCTACTGCTCAGAACATCAGGGAGGAGAGGTTTCTCATGTCCTCTCTCTCTTCCTACTGCTCAGAACATCAGGGAGGAGAGGTTTCTCATGTCCTCTCTCTCTTCCTACTGCTCAGAACATCAGCGAGGAGAGGTTTCTCATGTCCTCTCTCTCTTCCTACTGCTCAGAACATCAGCGAGGAGAGGTTTCTCATGTCCTCTCTTCCTACTGCTCAGAACATCAGCGAGGAGAGGTTTCTCATGTCCTCTCTCTCTTCCTACTGCTCAGAACATCAGCGAGGAGAGGTTTCTCATGTCCTCTCTCTCTTCCTACTGCTCAGAACATCAGCGAGGAGAGGTTTCTCATGTCCTCTCTCTCTTCCTACTGCTCAGAACATCAGCGAGGAGAGGTTTCTCATGTCCTCTCTCTCTTCCTACTGCTCAGAACATCAGCGAGGAGAGGTTTCTCATGTCCTCTCTTCCTACTGCTCAGAACATCAGCGAGGAGAGGTTTCTCATGTCCTCTCTCTTCCTACTGCTCAGAACATCAGCGAGGAGAGGTTTCTCATGTCCTCTCTCTTCCTACTGCTCGAAACATCAGGCGAGGAGAGGTTTCTCATGTCCTCTCTTCCTACTGCTCAGAACATCAGCGAGGAGAGGTTTCTCATGTCCTCTCTCTCTTCCTACTGCTCAGAACATCAGCGAGGAGAGGTTTCTCATGTCCTCTCTCTTCCTACTGCTCAGAACATCAGCGAGGAGAGGTTTCTCATGTCCTCTCTTCCTACTGCTCAGAACATCAGCGAGGAGGTTTCTCATTCTCTGCCTCCTCTCTATGGTCTCATGTCCTCTCTTCCTATGCTCAGAACATCAGGGAGGAGAGGTTTCTCATGTCCTCTCTCTCTTCACTACTGCTCAGAACATCAGCGAGGAGAGGTTTCTCATGTCCTCTCTCTATTCCTACGCTCAGAACATCAGCGAGGAGAGGTTTCTCATGTCCTCTCTCTCTTCCTACTGCTCAGAACATCAGCGAGGGAGGTTTCTCATGTCCTCTCTCTCTTCCTACTGCTCAGAACATCAGCGAGGAGAGGTTTCTCATGTCCTCTCTCTTCCTACTGCTCAGAACATCAGCGAGGAAGAGGTTTCTCATGTCCTCTCTCTCTTCCTACTGCTCAGAACATCAGCGAGGAGAGGTTTCTCATGTCCTCTCTCTTCCTACTGCTCAGAACATCAGCGAGGAGGTTTCTCATGTCCTCTCTTCCTACTGCTCAGAACATCAGCGAGGAGAGGTTTTCATGTCCTCTCTTTCCTACTGCTCAGAACATCAGCGAGGAGAGGTTTCTCATGTCCTCTCTCTTCCTACTGCTCAGAACATCAGCGAGGAAGGTTTCTCATGTCCTCTCTCTCTTCCTACTGCTCAAAACACAGCGAGGAGAGGTTTCTCATGTCCTCTCTCTTCCTACTGCTCAGAACATCAGCGAGGAGAGGTTTCTCATGTCCTCTCTCTCTTCCTACTGCTCAGAACATCAGCGAGGAGAGGTTTCTCATGTCCTCTCTCTTCCTACTGCTCAGAACATCAGCGAGGAGAGGTTTCTCATGTCCTCTCTCTCTTCCTACTGCTCAGAACATCAGCGAGGAGAGGTTTCTCATGTCCTCTCTCTCTTCCTACTGCTCAGAACATCAGCGAGGAGTGGTTTCTCATGTCCTCTCTCTCTTCCTACTGCTCAGAACATCAGCGAGGAGAGGTTTCTCATGTCCTCTCTCTTCCTACTGCTCAGAACATCAGCGAGGAGAGGTTTCTCATGTCCTCTCTCTTCCTACTGCTCAGAACATCAGCGAGGAGGTTTCTCATGTCCTCTCTTCCTACTGCTCAGAACATCAGCGAGGAGAGGACAAAAGCAATCGAGGGAAGACTGAGAAAGATCCTAGATGTGGTTAGGAACAAGCTTGTTGTGATCATGCGGACTGCTACTCAGACAGAAGAAAAAAGAGCAACATATTGTCCTGTACCTACCTACACAGACCAGCCGGCTGATGTGTCCTTTCCTCCACTTGAGCAGGTCTCCACCTTTCCCACAGCCCAGGTCCAGAACAGACAGCTCTCTGCGGCTCTGACGCACCGTGTCCAGGACCTCACCTGGGAGGACGGGAGGGACCTCTAGTTTACAGATAGAACAAGATATCTAGAGCACAAAGAATAAAGGCTAACTGAGTGCATTGAATTCACAGCAAAGCAGTGAAACAATATTAGGCAAAGCATTGCTGACCTCCAGCTCAGACTGCTCTGAGGAATCTACTGTAGTCCAATCAGAGCAGTGGGAACATTTTTTATAGTAGTTTAGAATCTGAATTATTTTTTCGCATACATTCAGTGGGGAGAACAAGTATTTGATACACTGCCGATTTTGCAGGTTTTCCTACTTACAAAGCATGTAGAGGTCTGTAATTTTTATCACAGGTACACTTCAACTGTGAGAGACGGAATCTAAAACAAAAATCCAGAAAATCACATTGTATGACTTTTAAGTAATGAATTTGCATTTTATTGCATGACATAAGTATTTGATACATCAGAAAAGCAGAACTTAATATTTGGTACAGAAACCTTTGTTTGCAATTACAGAGATCATACGTTTCCTGTAGGTCTTGACCAGGTTTGCACACACTGCAGCAGGGATTTTGGCCCACTTGTCCATACAGACTTTCTCCAGATCCTTCAGGTTTCGTGGCTGTCGCTGGGCAATACGGACTTTCAGCTCCCTCCAAAGACGTTCTATTGGGTTCAGGTCTGGAGACTGGCTAGGCCACTCCAGGACCTTGAGATGCTTCTTACGGAGCCACTCCTTAGTTGCCCTGGCTGTGTGTTTCGGCTCGTTGTCATGCTGGAAGACCCAGCCACGACCCATCTTCAATGCTCTTACTGAGGGAAGGAGGTTGTTGGCCAAGATCTCGCGATACATGGCCCCATCCATCCTCCCCTCAATACGGTGCAGTCGTCCTGTCCACTTTGCAGAAAAGCATCCCCAAAGAATGATGTTTCCACCTCCATGCTTCACGGTTGGGATGGTGTTCTTGGGGTTGTACTCATCCTTCTTCTTCCTCCAAATACGGCGAGTGGAGTTTAGACCAAAAAGCTCTATTTTTGTCTCATCAGATCACATGACCTTCTCCCATTCCTCCTCTGGATCATCCAGATGGTCATTGGCAAACTTCAGACAGGCCTGGACATGCGCTGGCTTGAGCAGGAGGACCTTGCGTGCGCTGCAGGATTTTAATCCATGACGGTGTAGTGTGTTACTAATGGTTTTCTTTGAGACTGTGGTCCCAGCTCTCTTCAGGTCATTGACCAGGTCCTGCTGTGTAGTTCTGGGCTGATCCCTCACCTTCCTCATGATCATTGATGCCCCATGAGGTGAGATATTACATGGAGCCCCAGACCGAGGGTGATTGACCGTCATCTTGAACTTCTTCCATTTTCTAATAATTGCGCCAACAGTTGTTGCCTTCTCACCAGGCTGCTTGCCTATTGTCCTGTAGCCCATCCCAGCCTTGTGCAGGTCTACAATTGTATCCCTGATGTCCTTACACAGCTCTCTGGTCTTGGCCATTGTGGAGAGGTTACAGGTAACGAGTTCCAACAGGTGCAGTTAATACAGGTAATGAGTGGAGAACAGGAGGGTTTCTTAAAGAAAAACTAACAGGTCTGTGAGAGCCGGAATTCTTACTGGTTGGTAGGTGATCAAATACTTATGTCATGCAATACAATGCAAATGAATTACTTAAAAATCATACAATGTGATTTTCTGGATTAGGAAAACCTGCAAAATCGGCAGTGTATCAAATACTTGTTCTCCCCACTGTATATACTTATTATGGACACAGTATGTTTTAAATTAGTTATTTTGTTGTTATTAGTTGTTTTAGTCCCAACCTTCAGCTCCATTCAACCCCTCCCATCTATCTCTTAACACCATCCATATTGGATTTCTATTTGCCATATATTGTTCAACTGTACTGTGATGTTTCACAAAAGTTCTGAACCTTTCTATTCTCATTGTTTCTACAGATTGTAAATTGAAAATAAACATTTTTGCTAAAAGTATTATTATATTATTGATCGATTGACTATGACTTTTCAGATCACCCAGTAGTGCTATCTGCAGGGTTAGCTCCAGGTAAATATTGCAATCCTTCAGCCATTCCTGGACCTGTGACCAAAAACAAGCTACAAATGGACAGAACCAAAACAAATGATCTAATGATTGTCTCTTCGCAGCAAAATATGCAGAGCTGGGAAGATTGTATCCCCCATATAAATAACATTCTATTGGTTGCAAGAATTTTGTCTAATAATTTAAATTGAAAAATTCTAAGTTTTGAATCCGGCATCGTTTTACGTATCAGTTCATAAACCATTTGCCATGGAATCGATACGTCAAAAATCTCTTCCCAACTATTTTGCAATCTATATGGAACTGCTGTCAATCCTTTGGTCCTTAAATGAAACTGGAAAAATGAATACTTTTTTATTTATCACAATGTTTTAAATTAATAGCATCACCACTTTTGAGTTTCTTTGCCCATGGGAGAAGTATATTTGCCCCCCCCCCCGTCCTTTTTCCACACTTCATCTAGATTTGTTGAATGAGTTTCCTGTAAACAATAGATATTACAATCTTACCAATTAGAACACTTTTAAGCCAGTTGTTGAAGTTCCTCATGTAGAATATTCTGCTCTGGCTCCTGGCAGCGAGGCCGGTCTCCTGGAGCAGGTTGTAATGGGTTGCCACCTTTTCTCCATGACCATGCTGGAACATAGGAGGGGGGGAGAGAAGGAGAGACAGGGGGAGAGAGGGAGAGAAGTAGAGACAGGGGGAGAGAGAGACAGGGGGAGAAGTAGAGACAGGGGGAGAAAGAGAGACAGGGGGAGAAAGAGAGATGATTCACTGATCTATCATTCAATAGTTCTCTAATTAATCAGTTCAGATCCTTTCTAATTTATCCATTTCTTACCCGTTTCTTAGTTGGAGAGCTGTCGTCCTCCTCCTCATGCTTCCTCTTGGTGGTAGACTTCTGTCCTGTACTGGACCCACTGTTTTGGTCTGCACTGGAAGACAGATGCCCGTTCCCACCCTCTCCTGTCTCTGTCTCTGCCTCTGCCTTGGACAGATCCACAGTCTGATCAACCTCTGCCATCTCCACTGGTCAGAGAAGAGTCAACTTTGGCAGGAGAGAGTTTTGTCAAAAGGATAGCAATGGCACGTTCAACTTCTTCTGTAAACTTCTGCAAATAATTTGTAAAATCAAGAGATATGTTATTTACTTGCACAGAACTAGGTAGCTATATGCTAGTGAAATGTATCTTCTTAGCTAACGTTACTTAGTTTTCAAATGTATCTAAATTATTTAGCTAGCTAGACAGTATAAACGCTGTTTGTGTTTTCTATATGAGATTAGCAGCTCCTGAACTGGAAACAGATCAATAATAACAATGTGTACTCAGTTTGAGTGGAATTAGCACCAGCTAGTTAACTAGTTACAGTAGCAAGCTAACCGTTAGCTAGCTAAGAATATTTCATCCTGGATAGCGTCACATGCACACATATAAAACACACACTTACAAGTAGCTTGGTGCAAAGATTAAGAACAATGTAATTATTTCAACGTGTTGAAAACATGAAAAAAGCTAGCTAACAAACGGCACTGTACATTTAGCTACAACACCACATAACATTGGAATAACCACAGTGTTCCCACTCACTTGAGTTTTCCGCCATTATGCATCTGAGACGGTCGTAATTTTGTAGTTTCCAACACCAACATATACAGTATCCCCCCCCCACTGGCACGGAGTACGAATGGATGCTTTTTCATGACTGACAGCCATTATGTAATATTACTTTTTTTTACATTATCTATTAGCTATAGGGGAACACGATGTAATATCTGAAGAAAATCAACATGCTTTCAATTTTGTTTTGGTGATCAAGTGACGCTTTCAATTTTGTAGAAAACGCAATAAACGTCAATGGCGTGTTTGGCTGTGTATCTGCACTACTCTTCCCACAAGTCCTTGCGGGCCTATCATTGACGTAATATTTATGCGACATGGGAGGATTTTCTGCTGAATGACAAATCTCAATTTTAGCCTGGGTGGAAAGACCGAAATACCATGTCGGATTGTCAAGTACGTTCCTTTAGATATATGATAAGTGTACGTTTTGTAGGTGGCTTACATTTTGTGTCGCCATCAACGTTGTGCGATGTTGCTGACTAACCCCTCCGGCTAGCTGGCTAACGACGTGCGTACCGCGATTCACGGTACATTCACTTCCAATGGAACGCTGCGTTTGCCTTGCAGTATTGCTTTGCAGTGCGTTCTGTGAAATCCAAAGTATGCATCAAATTGTATGTGTAGACTTGAAAGCAATAGTAGAAAAAGGGTGACAATTTGATTACATAATGGAAAAGTTTGACTGCAGAATTTATGATGCAACATTGGTTCAATAACGTTGTTGGGCTGATCGAGGTGTTGCCCATCTTTAAACTATTAATGCAATTCATGCTTTGATTTGTTTTGTGTAGCGACCAGCGAGCTTCCAACATGAAATTGTGGTTGAATATCTAGATAGAAGTTCATTGACCGTGAGTGAGTGATAGAACATTGAGTTGGATGGTTATCCTAGATAAGCACAATTAAGCTAGTTATCTTCCATTTCAGCAACTGGATCAACTTTACTGAACCGTTATTCTAAGGTAGCTATGGCATTGTTCTGTATGACTGTTTTATACATTCAACATGCACCAAGTATTGCACTGTAGTCGCGTTAATGTCATCCACTGTAGAAATCAATGCAACTATTTTCTGATCACATCAATAATGATTGGTTTTTGCTATGTTGTTGAATAAAACGTGTGAATACAAAGGCTCAATGGAACCAAGTGTATAATATAGTGTGTTGTTTTGCTACAGAGGGTGGACTAAGCAGCAAGTCAGAAGATGCAGCGTCTCTTTAACCAGAGAGCCTTGTGGCAATCAGCTGCCCTGCGCTCCATGCTCCTGGGCCCAGTTACCTGCGAGCCGTCCACCATCTTGGGTCCACGGATGGCCTCCTACTTCCTCAGGAACCCTGGCCTCAGCCCCAGTCTCAGTCCACGCTGGGTGAGCACATCAGGAGCAGTGTGGACCACAGCACCCCGTAAGCCCACCACAGAAGAGGGCCATAGCAATGTTGACCCAGGCCAGGAGGATATCATGGGGGACCGGTCCATTGGTCTGGTCCAGAGGTTCAGGAGAACTCTAAAGCAGTATGGGAAGGTGATGATCCCCCTTCACCTCATTACCTCCTCAATGTGGTTCGGGACCTTTTACTATGCTGCCATGCAGTAAGTTTTATTTAATATTTGTCTATGCAGGGAAGTCCCAATGTCTCTTTTGCAAGGGAGCTCTGTATCACAAAAATGCAGCATGAAATACAAAGTACATAATAAGGAATTAGTTATTAATTACAACAGACAGTTCTTTACTACGCTGCCATGCAGAAAGTTAGGAGTAACGTTGTACAGATATCAAGATATTATTTAGCAACCTGACATGAGAGGAAGGAGCAAAGACAAAACCCATAAACGGTCATGTGAGATGTGAGATGTTATTCTGAGACTGTTTCTGTTGCTCCTCTCCATATGGCCATTAGTGATAATGGGCTTTTCTCCATCCCTGGTCAACCTGAGGTTACTGCCTGGCAGACACCACTGAGTCTCATTTAGATGTACAGTATTCTGATTAAACAATCAGGGTTGTCTGGCCTGGCAGTAAGAGCTGCCATTAAGCCTGCTTTAGTTAGGCTCAGACTAGGATGGGCCCAGTGATGGTAATTATTTTAGTTGTTGACACTTGACTGACTTGATGTGTCATAGAAAATTAACCATATTAAATTAACCATTTAGGGGTGTAAATGTGGTTCCGTTTCTGGAGTATGTTGGATTCCCAGAGAAGCTTGTTAAGCTGTTGGAGCATTCCCAGAGTGGCTATGCACTGACTGCCTATGCCATGTACAAGGTAAGAATGCTCATCTCATTACATGTTTGGACAGCAATTGTTTGTGATTGGCTTGTTGGACTGTTTGTGATTGGCTTGTTGGACAATGGCAATTATTTTGAGTGTTGGTCCAGAGCTAAATCACCACATTAATCTTAACACATCATACTAATCACATTAACACTAACCACAATGTCCATGTTGTTTATTGTCAGATTGCCACCCCAGCCAGGTACACCGTGACATTAGGGGGGACGTCCCTCTCGATCAGGTACCTCCGTAAACATGGTCACATGACCACCCCACCGCCTGTTAAGGAGTACCTGCAGGACAAGATGGAGGAGACCAGGGAACGCCTCTCTGAGAAGATGGAAGAGACAAAGGACAGGTTGTCAGAGAAGATGGAAGAGACCAGAGATCGTCTGTCGGGGAGGATTGGGGATAACAAGGACAAGTTGGCAGAGAAACTCCAAGAGACCAAAGACAAAGTGTCTTTCAGAAAGAAGCCGGAGTAGATATCATATGTTAATTCCTGGATATAATTAAATAAATGTTCATATGGCCACTATAGCCCTTGAAAAGGATGGCTGGACACATTTCCCTAAACTGATTTAATCAGACACCACATACTCATAACATCAAAGCATTTCTCTTCTCACCTCTGCTTGACTGCAAATAGTAGGCTGCTGCACCTGCTCAAATAGCAAAGGATCCAGGAAGTAAGGAGGAAAATAGTTATATGGAGTTAAAAGTTGAAAAATGGGTGCTACATTTTCTGGGAAATATTTGTATGAAGGAGTGATTCCAGAAGAACATGGTATGTGTGGTGGAGGAGTGGGCTTTGAATTGGTTCACTGCAGATGTAGACTATTAGACAGTTACGGTCCCCAGGCAGTCAGTCACAACCACAACATTCACACTGGCTCATGTTACAAAGGTTATTGTTGTTTTTACAATGTTATACTGAGAGATTTATCTGAAATATTAAAACGTATTTGTCCTCCATTAGCTTGCCAATGAAAACAGATTCACAGTGAGATCTGCTGAAATATTCAAATATACACTACCGGTCAAATGATTTAGAACACCTACTCATTCAAGGGTTTTTCTTTATATTTACTATTTTCTACATTGCAGAATAATAGTGAAGACATCCAAACTATGAAATAACACATATGGAATCATGTAGTAACCAAAAAAAGTGTTCAACAAATCAAAATATATTTTTATATTTGAGATTCTTCAAATTGCCACCCTTTGTCTTGATGACAGCTTTGCACACTCTTGGCATTCTCTCAACCAGTTTCATGAGGTAGTCACCAGGAATGCATTTCAATTAATGTGTTTGAGCCAATCAGTTGTGTTGTTACAAGGTAGGGGGGGTATACAGAAGATAGCCCTATTTGGTAAAAGACCAAGTCCATATTATGGCAAGAACAGCTCAAATAAGCAAAGAGAAACGACAGTCCATCATTACTTTAAGACATGAAGGTCAGTCAATACGGAACATTTCAAGAACTTTGGAAGTTTCTTCAAGGGCAGTCGCAAAAACCATCAAGCGCTATGATGAAACTGGCTCTCATGAGGACTGCCACAGGACTGGAAGACCCAGAGTTACCTCTGCTGCAGAGTATAAGTTCATTCGAGTTACCAGCCTCAGAAATTGCAGCCCAAATAAATGCTTCACAGAGTTCAAGTAACAGACACATCTCAACATCAACTGTTCAGAGGAGACTGTGAATCAAGCCTTCGTGGTTGAATTGCTGCAACGAAACCACTACTAAAGGACACCAATAAGAAGAAGAGACTTGCTTGGGCCAAGAAACACGAGCAATGGGCATTAGACCGGTGGAAATTTGTCCTTTGGTCTGGAGTCCAAATTTGAGATTTTTGGTTCCAACTGCCGTGTCTTTGTGAGACGCGGTGTGGGTGAACAGATGATCTCTGCATGTGTATTTCCCACCGTAAAGCATGGAGGTGGTGGTGTTATGGTGTGGGGGTGCTTTGCTGGTGACACTGTCTGTGATTTATTTAGAATTCAAGGCACACTTAACCAGCATGGCTACCACAGCATTCTGCAGGGATACGCCATCCCATCTGGTTTGGGCTTAGTGGGACGATCATTTGTTTTTCAACAGGACAATGACCCAACACACCTCCAGGCTGTGTAAGGGCTATTTTACCAAGAAGGAGAGTGATGGAGTGCTGCATCAGATGACCTGGCCTCCACAATCCCCCGACCTCAACCAAATTGAGATGGTTTGGGATGAGTCGGACCGCAGATTGAAGGAAAAGCAGCCAACAAGTGCTCAGCATATGTGGGAACTCCTTCAAGACTGTTGGAAAAGCATTCCAGGTGAAGCTGGTTAAGATAATGCCAATAGTGTGCAAAGCTGTCATCAAGGCAAAGGGTGACTATTTGAAGAATCTCAAATATAAAATATATACCCAAAAATACTACATGATTCCATATGTGTTAATTCATAGTTTTGATGTCTTCACTATTTTTCTACAACTTAAAAAATAGTACAAATAAAAAGAAACCCTTGATTGAGTAGGTGTTCTAAAACTTTTGACCAGTATTGTTATTGGTCCAGTCTTAACAATGTTGGCTACGTTTGGAGTAGAAAGCCTTCATGTCAAACTGACATTTTATTTTATTACAACACAACTATATTCAAATCAAATGTTATTTGTCAAATGCTTCTTAAACAACAGATGTAGACTAACAGTGAAATGTGTACTAATGGGCCCTTCAATGCAGAGAGAAGTAATAGAAAAATAATAACACAATGAGTAACGATAACTTGGCTACATACAGGAAGTACCAGTACTGAGTCGAAGTGCAGGGGTAACGAGGTAATAACTTGGCTACATACAGGAAGTACCAGTACTGAGTCGAAGTGCAGGGGTAACGAGGTAAAAACTTGGCTATATACAGGAAGTACCAGTACCGAGTCGAAGTGCAGGGGTACCGAGGTAATAACATGGCTATATACAGGAAGTACCAGTACTGAGTCGAAGTGCAGGGGTAACGAGGTAATAACTTGGCTATATACAGGAAGTACCAGTACTGAGTCGAAGTGCAGGGGTAACGAGGTAATAACTTGGCTATATACAGGAAGTACCAGTACTGAGTCGAAGTGCAGGGGTAACGAGGTAATAACTTGGCTACATACAGGAAGTACCAGTACTGAGTCGAAGTGCAGGGGTAACGAGGTAATAACTTGGCTATATACAGGAGGTACCAGTACTGAGTCGAAGTGCAGGGGTAACGAGGTAATAACTTGGCTACATACAGGAAGTACCAGTACTGAGTCGAAGTGCAGGGGTAACGAGGTAATAACTTGGCTATATACAGGAAGTACCAGTACTGAGTCGAAGTGCAGGGGTAACCAGGTAGTTGAGGTAGATATGTACATACAGTATATATAATAAACAGTAACAGCAGCGTATGTGATGAGTCAAGAGTTAGTGCAAAAAGGATCAACAAAAGTAGAAACGCAACATGTAAAGTGTTTGTCCCATGTTTCATGAGCTGAAATAAAAGATTATCCAACATTTCCATACGCACAAAAAGCTTATTTCTCTCAAATTTTGTGCACAAATGCGTTTGCATCCCTTTTAGTGAGCATTTCTCATTTGCCAAGATAATCCATCCACTTGACAGGTGTGGCAAATCAAGAAGCTGATTAAACATCATGATCATTACACAGGTGCACCTTGTGCTGGGGACAAAAGGCCACTCTAAAATGTACAGTTTTGTCACACAACACAATGCCACATGTTTTGAGGGAGTGCAATTAGCATGCTGACTGCAGGAATGTCCACCAGAGCTGTTTCCAGAGAATGTAATGTTAATTTCTCTACCATAAGCCGCCTCCAACATCATTTTAGAGAATTTGGCAGTATGTCCAACCGGCAGACCACGTGTATGGCTATGACAGAGACTGGATTCGAACCAGGATCTCTAGTGGCACAGCTAGCACTGCGATGCAGTGCCTTAGACCACTGCGCCACTCGGGAGAACATTTTATCAATGGCAATTTGAATGCACAGAGATACCGTGATGAGATCCTGAGGCCCATTGTCGTGCCATTCATCCACCGCCATCACCTCATGTTTCAGCATGATAATGAACGGCCCCATGTCGCAAGGATCTGTACACAATTCCTGGAAGCTGAAAATGTCCCAGGTCTTCCGTGGCCTGCATACTCACCAGACATGTCACCCATCGAGCATGTTTGGGATGCTCTGGATCGACATGTACGACAGAGTGTTCCAGTTCCTGCCAATATCCAGCAACTTCACACAACCATTGAAGAGGAGTGGGACAACATTCCACAGGCCACAATCAACTGCCTGATCAACTCTATGTGAAGGAGATGTGTCGCGCTATATGAGGTAAATGGTGGTCACACCAGATACTGACTGGTTTTCTGATCCACGCCCCTACCTTTTTTTAAGGTATCTGTGACCAACAGATGCATATCTGTATTCCCAGTCATGTTAAATCCATAGATAACGACCTAATGAATTTATTTCAGTTGACTGATTTCCTTATATGAACTGTAACTCAGTAAAACCTTTGAAATTGTTGCGTTTATATATGTTTGTTCAGTGTAGATAGTTTAGTAGTTAACCAATAGCTACCCGGACTAACTATTCAGCAGTCTTATGGCTTGTGGGTAGAAGCTGGTCAGGGTCCTGTTGGTTCCAGACTTGGTGCATCGGTACCGCTTGCCGTGCGGTAGCAGAGAGAACAGTCTATGGCTTGGGTGGCTGGAGTCTTGTTTAGTAGTCTTATGGCTTGGGGTAGAAGCTGGTCAAGGTCCTGTTGGTTCCAGACTTGGTGCATCGGTACCGCTTGCCGTGCGGTAGCAGAGAGAACAGTCTATGGCTTGGGTGGCTGGAGTCTTGTTTAGTAGTCTTATGGCTTGGGGTAGAAGCTGGTCAAGGTCCTGTTGGTTCCAGACTTGGTGCATCGGTACCGCTTGACGTGCGGTAGCAGAGAGAACAGTCTATGGCTTGGGGTAGAAGCTGGTCAGGGTCCTGTTGGTTCCAGACTTGGTGCATCGGTACCGCTTGACGTGCGGTAGCAGAGAGAACAGTCTATGGCTTGGGGTAGAAGCTGGTCAGGGTCCTGTTGGTTCCAGACTTGGTGCATCGGTACCGCTTGCCGTGCGGTAGCAGAGAGAACAGTCTATGGCTTGGGTGGCTGGAGTCTTGTTTAGTAGTCTTATGGCTTGGGGTAGAAGCTGGTCAGGGTCCTGTTGGTTCCAGACTTGGTGCATCGGTACCGCTTGACGTGCGGTAGCAGAGAGAACAGTCTATGGCTTGGGGTAGAAGCTGGTCAGGGTCCTGTCCGTGCGGTAGCAGATACTATCTATTAGTTCCACATTATTCATGGTTGTATCCTAGGACCTCCATATATATTCAACCACAAGGGCTTACTAATGAGCTATGTGAGATTTAAAAACATATATAATAAGAGGACTTACTGAATTATTTATACTACTGAACTACTTATATTATTTCAGTGTAGATGAGGGAAGGGCAGGTTAAAATCAAAACATGACAGCCAGACAAGCCAGTGTATGAATCAAACATATTTGCATATGAATGGAGTGGAAATTAGCTGACTTTGTGATCTGTAAGGTAAGTAACATTAATGTGTCAAGCAGATTACACATTTTCTTAGCTATTTCCGAAACGTAGCAACGTTTAAGACATGGATTTCATGTTGAAATGTTAACAAGGTACCCAAAAGTAGTTTGAAGTAATGTTTTAATTTTATTTGCTAAACAAACTCATTTAAACAGCGAAAATGTCGCAGAAATCAACGTTGTTTGCATAGCGGGGATGAAAATAATGTCATTTACACTGTAATGATCTCCAAAATTCAAATCATTAGGTCATCACACCGTTGATATAGCAATGAACGCTAATAGTTTATCCAAACCCATTGTGATGCAGGGGGGACACTTTTTGGCTGGGGACATTATTTGCCATGACAGGCCCAATCACAGTCACACTATACACTACCCGGTCAAACGTTTTAGAACACCTACTCATTCAAGGGTTTTTCTTTATTTTTACTATTTTCTACATTGTAGAATAATAGTGAAGA